CGCGAGGGCTCCGCCCGCCGCCCCGCCCCGCGTGCCTTAACCCCTAGGACGCCATTGCGGAGGCAGGCAGGGAGAGTAGGTCCAGGTGTACTGCCTCATCGGACAAGGCTTCCCACTCTCCTAGCCTCGTGATGTTTGACAGGGGGTCCAACCATGTTGTCACCTCTGAGAAAGGCAAAGCTACACAAGCAAGTCCTGTGACACAGCTCTAGCTCTCTGAGGAATTTCAAAGTGGGTCCAGAATGGACCTGGGGTCAAAAAATAGATGCTTCTGGGAGAGGAGGTCACTGTCAAGTTCTGAGTTAAAGATCAGCCCACTAGGATCTTAGCTCTTAGCATCAAGCAGACCAGGCATCGGGGCTCCACCTCTTCACTGGGTAAGAGTTAGTCTGAGCAGTGCCTAGAGCAGAATCCTTGCCTACTTCAGGCTTACTGAGCCAACTGGACCTGGTTAAGGGAGGTCCAGTTGGCTCAACCCAATCAGTCAGAGGAGGTCTTGATTTTGCCAGAGGAGAAAGGTGCTGCCCACTCCCTACGCAGACTGGGTCATCTTCTCCATGCAAGTCTCTGTAAAGGAACCACTTAAGTCGGGCTGGAGACATGGCTCAGTGGTTAATAGCACTGATTACTCTTCCAGAGGACCTGGGTATGGTTCCCAGCACCCACACGGCAGTTAACAAGTGTCTGTAACTCCAGTTCCAGGGGATTCGACGCCCTCTTCTGGCCTCCTTGGGCACTGCAAGCATGAGGTACATATACATTCATCCAGGCAAAATATACATATACATAACATAAAAATAAAAAAATAATACTTTTTAAAATAACTAGATAAGTAATTGCAGCTCATAGATAATAACTTGGGAGGGCCTGGCCCATTTCATTCCTCCTACTGGGACAGCGATTTTTCTGATTAGAAGTCAGAGACCTGAGGGACAAAGGTCCTGGTTCCCAAGAAGGGAAATGTGTTCTAAGAGAAGGCATTGAGAAGGGGATAAGGGTCAAGGTTGTCTGGACTTCCATAACATCATCTTCTCTTTCAGGAAAAAAAAATATGGGAACACATCCTCGAGGTTGTTAGGAGTCATCAGTTACCCCCACAAACTTCCTGGTGCTGCAGAGTAAGAACACACACACACACACACACACACACACACACACACACGGAAGCTCATAGGGGAGTCAGCTTGGTGCAGACACCACTACACTCCCCAGATCTCTGTTCTCTTCTCTACCAATGTTTTATGGAGCTACAGCTTTGCTACATTTCAGAAGATTCTAGAAAGTGACTCCTTCATCATGGCTCATAACTCCCTGCTTCCTCTGTTTAGGATGTCTTCCCAGCAAGATGGCTCATTAATCATTTATGTTTTTTTTTAATATCATGCCTTGCATACCTGTGGGCCATGCACTGTCAACAGCTCAGTTACCAAAACACCACTGGCCTCCCCAATACCCAAGAAAGTGGGTCATGAACACCCAGTCAGACAAGTAACAGGAATCTCATTTGACTTAAAAGTATATGGCAAAAGCTTACAGACTCAGGCCATCTATGCCAAGACTGCATCGACAGAATGCCAGAGGGCGGGGTGGGGGTGGAAAAATTCAGATGCACCCGATACCCAGCTCCAACCCAGAAGAGCTCTGGTCCAGGCTGCAGGCACTAGCAAAGTCATCCTCCGCTGGGCGCTGTCCCTTCAGCACCCGCTTTGCAACCTGACTGCTCAGCCTGTTCCCTCTCCTCCTCAGGTCAGGAGATCTGGGGACAGGGCTTCCCTGCTCTGCTATTACTGAGCTACAGAAGCAGGCAGAGACATTGGGCCATCAAAACACGGGATCACATTGGTTTCTGCTCTATCAAAGAGCAGTTTGAAGTTCATACCAATGTCCATTGCCCTTGGAGTCCTCCTTCATATTCCTTCCTATGCGAAACAAGGTGAGTTGGTGGTAAAGTGCTTGCTCAGCATGTATAAAGTCCTGGGTTCCATCCCCAGAACCTTTCCAAAATTAATGTATTTATCCAGGCATAGTGGGTCACACTTGTCATTCCAACACTCGGGGGTTAAGACGGGAAGAACATCAAAAGTTTAAGGCCAGAGAGACCCTGCCTCAAGAAACAAGCAATAAGGGGAATGGAGAGATGGATCGCTGGTTAAGAGCACTGGATGTTCTTTCAGAGGACCCGGGTTCAATTCCCAGCACTGACATGGCAGCTCACAACTGTCTGTAACTCCAGTTCCAGGGGACCTGGCACCCTCATACAGATATAAATGCAGGCAAAACATCAATGAACATTTTAAAAAAGAAAAGATCTTAAAGCAAAAAAAAATGAATAAAATTAAAGAGGTTACAGCCACATATTTCCTACCTGGGTCTTTCAGAGTTTGTATCTTTGTACCCAGTGTCCCAGAGCCTGGCACAGGTGAGGGTTTATAAGCCATGGTTCTTGTAACTACTCAGGATGGAGGCCCACCAGCATACACCTCTATGGAGAGCTACACACAGCAATGCCAGTCAGAGGAATCCCAGTGCTTTCTGGTTGGAAACCGACCATTCTTTTCCCCTCCAGCTGAGCCTGGGACTGTGGTTTCACAGATGCCAAACACCGTGAATGCTTGGGAAAGGAGGTGGAAAGAATGTCCAGCTTCCATGATATGCGCTGCCCAGATCATCAGAAGCCTCGAGTGAAGCCACAGAGAATATGTGCGAACACTTGCCACCATCCGAAACCCCTGCTGGGAAGCCCAGCTTCATATATTCAGCACACTTGACTGTTACATAACGGCATTCACAGTCAGGAGTTTGGTCACCCTCATGCTAAGGGTCAGTGATCAGAGTTAGGACATGGGGGTGCTCCCCACTGCAGCCCTTCCAACAGAGACCTCCTTCCAAGCGAGATCTCAAGAAGACAGAACAGCTGCTGTGGACCAGAAGGGGAAATGCTGCCAGCCGGGAAACAGACTCAATTTGGAGAAATGAGAAGAGACAGGTTCTCAGTCACTCTGACTGGGCAGAGCTGTGGTTGTTTTAATCCTATAATTTGGACAACAGGAAGTGCCTACCCAGGCAGAAAGGCCCCCCTCAAAGGAATTTTCCACTATTAAGAAGGACTGTGTTGGTCTGGATAATGGAAAGCAATGAAGTGAGGGAAAGACAAGATAGGAAAGAGGTTTTTTTTAATCTGACAGGAATGCTTACTGGTTGAAGTCAATAGGAATTTAATTTATAGTTGCTTCATTTTTTTAAGGACCAGAGCTCTCAACAAGCTGACCTAGCCCCTGGCAAACTAGCTAATTACATGAGGAACTGAACTTGTACTTCCCAACCACTGGCAATAATTTCACTGTGGCGACAGATAGAGACCGACAGGGAACGGTGGCAGCCCTCGAAGTGTCCAAAGAGGCCCCAAGACAAACTTCAGGCTTCTAGAAAGCTCTGCTCTCCCTCTTCTTTTTTTAAAAAATATTTATTTATTTATTTATTTATTATGTATACAATATTCTGTCTGTGTGAATGACTATAGGCCAGAAGAGGGTACCAGACCCATTACAGATGGTTGTGAGCCACCATGTGGTTGCTGGGAATTGAACTCAGGACCTTTGGAAGAGCAGGCAATGCTCTTAACCTCTAAGCCATCTCTCCAGCCCCCTGATGTCCCTCTTCTATGATAGCCTTATGTCTTTATATTCCTCCTTCTTCGTTTCTGGAGCACAGTTTTGTCAGTACCACCTACACACCCCTTCTCACATCTTAGAAGCTGTGGCAATTCTCCCTGTCCCATTGAAGATAAAAGGTGACAAATATAGTGACCCCTTGGTCCAGTGAGAGCATGATACAGGCCCCACTGTGGAGCAATCCACGACGCACTGCCAGGGCCACTCATCTGTGAGACTGGTCCTGCCACTCCCTCTCAGACACCGGCCAAGCACAGCACCCCAGTGACTGTCACACAATTACAGGCACTGCACTCTCGGTCTAGAATGCTGTCCCCTGTCCTGGTATTGGATGAACACTGTGTCTCTGCTCAGGAAAGCCCTGAAGTCAGGTATCCCCATTCCACTGCCTTCTCTTCCAACCCAAGTTCCTTGCTGGTCTAAAACTATCACTCATTTGCCTGCCATATGCTCATCTTCCCTGTGCAGTAAGCTTGGCTCAGGGTCTTATGACCCCTCACAGTCCACAGCCTAATCCACAGGAGAGACTTGTCCACTTTCATCAGAGAATGGTCACTCTGAGCCTCCAGCCACAGGAGCCCTGGAGGGCAGCCCAGGAACTACATGGTTTGGAGCCCTTGGAGTGTACCCTGGGAGGGTGTGGGTGTCTGGAACTCTGTTCTCTAGAGATGTTCCTGCTGGCAGAGTGGTCAGCACCTGCCCACGCACAAGCTATCTGCTGCTGGCTCTTGCCTACAGCCAGTCCAGGCTTGCTATGGTGCCTTGCTTGACCAGTAGGCTTGAACAATGCTTTCCATTCTGGGTAAGCACCCGTGGGTCTTTGGGGTTCCTTCTGCAACTGGCTCATATCCTCAGACAAAGCTAGCAAATGCCCCACC